AAACTATAATACTCTGGAAAAAATGTACTTTAATAAAGCAATTTCTCTCGCATGCAAAATGCTCGCTTCGCGGCGGCCATTTCGCGTGCAAGTGAAGCCTACCACATTTCCCATGATGCTTAGCTATAATGGGAATTGCCTATTGTGTATGACCATTGCATTATTACCACTAAATATACGACAGTTAAAACAGCAGTAATCTTTTCCTGTGAGTGAGTTGCTCTGTTCCACAATTTATTCAAGTCTGATTATCCCCGGCTATCTGTACAAGTACTGTACTTCTACAGTATACGCACTACTTAGTTATTTAATTTGTCTAACTTCTCAATACAATGTGGACTGTCGTATATGCATTTTATATAATATACAGTTGTTTGTTTCATAAACAAGCGCACAATGTGGACTATAAGATAAAGTAGGGATTCGATAACTGCAGTAAACAAACACAGCAATGAGTTTGAAAACATCTATTTGAAAAAATTAATCTTATATCAAATCTTTACAAATTATAATATCAAATCTTTACCTGAAATAATAAAAGATGTATTAATAGGAATGAATGTAATGTATATGGAAACTCAACTAAAAATGTCGCGCTAGTTTCATTCAACCAAATCCATGGATTAGAATATGGTCACATTTACCAAAATAGTGCTTTTAATTTTGTCTAACACCCCATTCAAGAGGCAAAACATTTGTTCGTACCTCTTGAAAAAATGTAATTTTCAAATTGGTTATAATCTTTCTGCGCAATATGGAAAAAAAATATGTACCATTTGTATTGAGATACTGTAGAAATGACTGCATTATGGTGCAAATATTGCCGTCTATCTTATTGCCATGCCATACGAAATATTATCATGAATGAAGTATGAATTTTGGCAAATCAGTTTTGCATGCATGGTACCTTGAGTTCTTAATTGATCATTTTGTAACAAAGGATTGTAACCAGATCTCATTTACTCATTATTTCATACTTACTTTAACTGTACATGTAGAACAGGGAGCATCACTAGTTTATACCAACCCAAAATAGAATTTAGTAAAAATAATTCAGTAAATTTGTTCAAACACATACATAAAAGCTGTCATTATTCTAAACATGCTAAGGAGTAAGAACGAACAAGTGCACATTTTCCAAGAAATCGACTCAGTCCTTCAATTGTGGCTTTTTTATAACAATAACATGTTCAATTAACAGGTAATCATTATCAATATTATATATTTGAGGGCTAGCTGGTCTTACGTACATATTCAATCTTCTCTCTCCAAACTTTTATCTTTATTCCCATCATGATTCTTGTCCTCTTCCATGTAATCATCAAGTCCTTATGTGGCAAATCTATCAACAATCTATTTGATTATTATATTTGTTACTTGCGTCATCTTTGTCCCAGAGTCCACGCTTAACAATAAATAATGAAGCATGTAGTCTTTTTTCCATGAACGCATATGATCGTTCTAAACTATCCAAAGATATTGATTGTACCTCATCCTGATGTAGAGCCCGCTTAAGTTTTGGAATCTTGTTCAGTCCACAGTAGCCAATTATATGCCATTTTTCATTATGCAAAACTAAAAATTTCAGGGCATTGGAATCTCGGACATTGTCTGGCTCATGTTCTACTTTAAATTCCAACTTGAGATTTTTTTATCTTCTATACATGATTATTGCAAGAGCCTGTTGGTATCTTTGTTCTTGCCAGGAACCAACTACAACAGACTTCTCAGGATACAATGTGTCTTGTTCACAATCTTTGTCCCCATCATTCTCCTCATCAGAGCTTGAATCATTCATATCGTTAGCATCACCGGTAGCTTGTTTCACACCCAACAATTGGGTCAACTGCTGAATTTCCTCAATCTCATCCATGCTGCAATAGATAATAGTTCATTATTGTTATGGTGAAGAGACATTTCATTGAGACAACATAAAGTACATTGCTGTACTTCGTACACAGCAAAAAATGCATAGCCTGTATGGTAACAATGTTGTTGAAAACAGGCCTGGACAATATTTTGCTGCCCATTTTGTCCCCGGTTAAGAATATTGTTCAGCCAGAACAAAGCTGAACAATTTTTGTAACAAGCGGGAACAATATGGGCAACAAAATATTGTTCAGGCCTGTGTTCAACAACATTGTTACAGGCTGGGCATTTTTTTGCAGTGTAGATAAGAATACATCTATTTCTTCGAGTTAACAAACATAATGACAACTCCTCCTTCTGCACCCATACTTTCAACATGACCAGGCATCTCTTCACCATAAATTTTAATCAAACACATAGGATATAATGGCTGCTTAATGCAATTGCATAACGATGGCTCATCTAAATTCACCGGGGGTAGGTCATTCAGTATATCCTCTGAAATATCGAGCTTGCGTGGTCGGATTGTTACAGAAGTTGGTAATGGAATAATGTTAAATTCCCACAACAGAACTCGTCATCCTTTTCCCTGCGATATTCTTGGTTGCAAAACTATATATATATATATATATATATATATATATATATATATATATATATATATATATATATATATATATATATATATATCAAAGAAATATTTTCAGCAAGTATGAAAGAAAAACTAAATGTAAACTTGTGAAATATGTTTTAAAAATAGTAGTACTATAGGTAAAAAGATTTAATGCTTTTTGCAAGGATACCGGAACGATAAAAAAGCAAGGGGGGGGGAACGCGCGCATCTATGGACCCCAGTAAAGATATAAACCTATGATAGCTGTTGTGTTTTAGCAGTAAAGTCTACTCAAGGAAATATAACTGCGCAAACGCACTTAATCAGGTAACATTAAAAATCACACCTCCTTACTTTGCCCAATAAGCATCACTTGAAATAAGATTTAGCAGGTAGTAATTTTACTCTGGTATTTTCATAACTCAAAGGGCACTTCTGCCCTTTTTTTCCCTCCTAGCAAAAGTGGCAGCTGCCCCCCCCCCCTCCCCTGTTCCGGCGTCGCTGTTTTGTAAATAGATTTGACTCTAAATCATAATCATTTCAAGTCACAACTAGAGCAGATTTCTATCAATGAAGGACTATCGCATTCAGCGAACATTTCTTCAACTTTTACCCCATTGACAACTGCCGGACAAAGCGCAATTCGTCTGATGTCCAAACTATCCACAAAACTAACATGAAGTTCACAGCAATCGAGTTCTACATACGACATCTCTTGAAGCAGCAGCTCCAGACGCTCTTTAATTTCAATACACAGCGTACATAAAGATGGTCAGGTCCATCCAAATCAGAAGCATTGTTGCCACGAACAGTGCGAAAATTCGCCATGATTTATAGAATATTATAATAAACGCTCTGACCGATTCTTGTAGTGAACACAACGAAAGCTAATCGAACAATGACGTGCAATGCCGAGAAATCGATAAGTAATAAAATGTACCTGGCCGCAATGCATGCCGGTGTAGTCACCCAACCTCCTCTGGTTGGTACCATTCACTTGCTTTCCAACTGCGGCGAATGTTGATTAGAAGAGGAAATGTCGTACAAGAATAGGCAGCTACTTCAAATTTTGAGTGTGTATTACAGATTGTCGGAAATTCAGCACAATTTCAATGTATTTAGAAGTAAATAATCATCTTACTGTCAAATTATCAGTTGTTGTTATTTTAGTGAATGCAGAACGGGAAAATACGGCTGAAGAAACGAATTTTTTATGCTTATTCAGGTGGGTGCTCTTCTAATAATTAGAACTAAAGGACAGTACAGAACATAGGGAAAGGATTTGATTTATAAAATGCGTAATTTTCCAGACAAATAATAATGTCAAGTTATCATGTAACGTTACACGTGCAATTAAGGATTGAAGAGTACTTGTGCAATTTTGGCAAAACTTTCAAATATCACTCGTAATGTTAATCCTTCATTTTACTCGCCATCACGTGATTACCTAGTATACTTTAACACGTCACTAACCTTTTTGGACATGTTTGTAGATTTTTCTTTTAAATTTAATAATTTTAAATGCAAAGGCAACTCATTACCCATATTGTATAATGCATATGTTTTCTGCTTATTTGCAAATAAAAATACAAATAATGAGTTTTTAAATCATATTATAAACTTTCATTACTTGAATAGTACATTATTACATCCGAATTTAATGGATCCGAAAAGATGCGCATAATAGAATGACTCTGCAATGTATCATGCAGGTTTCAGTTGATGAGCATTAGCTTATAGTTTAGGAAGATCTGTTGTGTAGAAATATATTTGATATTGTAACATGGGTTAAACCCCCCAAAATGAATGTGCATCTGATAACATAAGTACCTCGTGTGATAACACCGCTAAAATTAAATATTTAGAGTGCAATGAGCCCTTGAGATATTGATAATACAATGAGACAAAGCGGCATTGACCATTCCGTCAGAGGCAACGAGGCTTATTTAGTCAATATTAACATTATACGAGTATTACGTTATCTCACCAGTTTCTTTATGGCTTTGCTCAAAACGGCTTATTTCTTTGTTTTCCGTTGAAACAAGGATCTTATACTTTCCTAGATGAAATGCATTTGGAAAAAAACCTCGATCATGCGCGCGCAGTTAAAGCAAAGAGGATTAAATTTTTTATTAGACAGCAAAATATATACTAGATTATAGTCACGTTTTCCCTCCTGCTGAAAGGGACCGATTCGTTCGCATTGACTTGTTTCCCATTGGAGCGAATGTTGAAAAGCGGCCAAAATGACGCAGATATAGACAATTACCTTGTCGGAAATGTCTGGGTGTAAATTGCAGATGTCTGAAATACAGGAGAATTTGTACCCGTTTAGTGGAAGTAACTGATCATCATACTTTCAAATGATCAATTGCCATTATTTTTAGTCAAAGCGGGACTGAAAAATGACGACTGAAGAAACGAAGCTTCTTACTTCACAACATTCAACATGGTTGGTAGTTTTCATTTCTTCACAAATATTGGTTGGAACTACAGCAAATTTATGTGTAATTATTTATTTGCTTGTTTCTCGTCACCGAAAACGACGCACTGCCTCGGATAAAATGATTCTAAATTTAGCTATATCGGACTTCATCGCTTTAACAACGTATCTTCCTTGGCGCACACATTTGATCATATCACGAGAGGCGACTGAATATATGTATATCCACACGTCCTTGTTTATCGTGTGTATTTTTTCAACAGGCAATGCCATTACATGTATCGCAATCGACCGATTCATAGCTGTCATTTGGCCTTTGAGGTATAATATTCTCATAACATCAAATGTCTCCTGGACATTGATTGCGATATCATGGATAGCGGCCATTGTTCTTGGGATCATACATGGTATCAGCTTTAACTTGGACAAATATGAAGCCTACGAGTTGTTTTTGTCTGTAATATCATTCGCTCAGCTTGTCGTAGGCTACTCTCTGTAATATATGGTATTGTACTGAAAACAGCAAGAAAGCAAACGAGAAATATTTCCAAACTTTCAGGAAGATCTCAAGTGAGATTTTTCTTTCTAAGGAAAAGTGTACGTACAACTTTTACCATTATGTGCTTGTTCTATGCAACTTACCTCCCCTCTTGCATCCTCAGAGTGTATTCAGCAGTGAACAAAAGTTTAACTGATAACGAAAAATTTGTTGTATGGAGTTGGTTAGACGCTTTCACTTTTATAAACTCATGCTGCAATCCCTTCCTGTATTTTTTTGTAATGGAAAATCAAAGGGTAGAGTTTGTTAAATCCTTTCGAACTTGGATCAGCAAGTACAGGAACAATGAAAATGTACGTTCGCGACAACCCAACAACAACTCTAATGAAATGGAAGACAATTAAGGTACATAGATAGGCAATTCATCTTTTCCGTCATCAGCGTCATATAGATAAGGTTTTCAATTATTTGTATTAAATTTCGACTGTAACTTATTTCGATATATTTGGTAATAACATATACAATTTTAGAACAAACTTAGTTCGAACGCACAAAGAATGAGAATGGTCAATACAAATTGAAGTATAGTAGCTAAAATGATGACACCGACGTCAATATAGGAAGGAAATGTTGAAATGTACACTGTATGATAATATAAAATGTTAAAATTGTACATTTTTCAACAATATAGCCCAAATCATCAAAATAACATGTCATGGGATTTTAACAAGAAGGCCGAGACGTCTTTACTACTACTTTGAAATTAACAGACTCAGCCTCAAGTCCACTTGCAAGTTGTGTTATTAGTTCAAAATGTTCGGTGTCTATAATATAGACTGCGACCGGTCCCTCCTTCCCGCGGGTTTAGATTTCCGGACATGCGAAAGGAAAGGAGGGACTGCAAACAACAAATCAATAAACGAAATCCGCGTTGCACACACAACGCAAAATTCCCATTGATCGAAATCAATACGCCTGTCAGTCGAATATAATATGTAGTACTTATGCTATAAATAACTTCGAGAGTGAATGTTGATTTTATAGAGGGTGTGTCAAAGTAAAGGTAATCGAACTTCAGCGCGCCTATGTATCTGAATCACTGCGTATGAACAAGATTTTTCATCTTCGGAAGATCAGGCTTTTAGCTGTTGAATGATATGTTCTTCATGCCAAATGGATAAAAAATAAGCCAGTACGAATCCGATAAAAAATGTTAGTCAGAATCGCATATTTTCACCGTTGTATTCGGTACTATTAAGTTGATGAATTTCACTTCAGTCAACTATACGCACATCTTCATAAACATTATTAAGTAAGAATAAATCTTATCTAAGCTACGACAAGTTCGTGTGATCAATTGCTCTTTCTTTTGTTATGCACTGCTTTCTATAAATTAGGCATATAGCTGAAAATATGTTATTCTGACTAACATTTTTTATCGGACTCGCATTTGCTTATTTTTCTCCACCTGGCATGAAAACATGTAATTCAACAGCTAACAGCCTGATCTATCCGAATATTTCATACGCCGAGTAATGCAGGTACAATAGCGCACTGAAGTTCTATTACCTTTTTTTATACTGTAAATAAACATGGCATTAACGGTTCCTATTGGATAGATTTGATTGGATATAAGTAATGTTTATGCAAAGGCGGAGCCACTTTGACAAGAGCGAAAAGTGGGCGTATTTCCTTTCTTGATGTATTGTCGGCGGTCCCTCCTTTCTCCGAGGGACAACTCGCGGACTAGTGTCTATACCATTTGCACGATACGACCAGTCGTATACGATTCATGAGGATATGATGACCAGATACGCTTTAGATCAAGTATCATTGCTAGAAATCGCGGACAATTTGAAATGTGACAACTTTATACGCATTCACGCCATGATAAGTATCCTATACTACTCGTTTCGGGTAGATTTGCCTTTAGTGGTAATACAATAATCATTCTGGCGTGTTAAAAGTATTATACCAACGCCTCAATTTCCTTTCAATATAGTTGGTTATTATTGTATCAATATTCATCTAATGACGTCATGTCCGGAAACTTTGACAATCGGAAAAGTTGATCAAGATGAGCTTTTTTACTACATTACATTTCGTCTAAGAACTATGACCCAAATATCACATAAACTAAAAATTCTATTTGAGGTTAGTCCAAGTTTAATTAATGCATGCTTGGCTTTTTTGGCATTATCAAACTTGCATTTAATAAAGTTACAGCACACATAGTGCACATGTTTTGAAAATAATATCTAGTCTATTTTTTCAAAAAAATCAACAGAGAAAGGAGTCAAATTCATGAAAAAAGGAAATTCATGCTACTGTCTACAGGAAAATGTAATGATCAATAAGAACAGCTTAGGAAGACAGGTTATACGCAATTGAATAATAATTGAAGGGCCTTGTATAGATAGAAATTATCGAGTAGAAATTGATATGCACTTATTAGACCTAACCAGGAACAGTTGCGAAAGATGCAACTGGAGGTCCCTGGAAGGAATCGAACCAGCTGCCATGTTATTTGTGTGTGTGTGTGTGTGTGTGTGTGTGTGTGTGTGTGTGTGTGTGTGTGTGTGTGA